TTTTTTTTTTTTTTTTTTTTTTAATTCCCTATATTTTTTGTGTTTTGCGGGGAAATTCGCAGCAATAGGTAATCAATCGAGCACTGTAAAAACAAAAAAAACAAAAAAAAACTGAAAAATAGTTGATGGCGAAATTCTGCCACTGCTTTTCTTTTTTTTTTTCTCTTTTTTTCCTCTGATGATAATTGATGACAAGAATCCTCTCGCTTTTTCTGTATTCTTATTTGTTTGTGCTTGTGATTTTTTTTCAATTATCTTTTTGCTTTTTGATTTTTCCCCAAAAGGCCGAGCCACGTCGGCCTGGAGTCACAGGTGATGGCGGCATCAATGGGGATGCGACACGTGGCCGTCGCAGGAGGAGGCTGCTCTACCACCGCACAATGCAGCGGCATCAATGGGATTAAGATCATTTCCTCTCCTCCGAGAGTCGCTCAAGGACACGTGTCAATCAAGGAACAAGCAGGAGTGAGGTCAGCAGCAGCAGCAGGAGCATCAGTAGTCGCTGTGAACTGCCGGAGATCGGCACCTCCTCTTCCTTTTCCTCCTGCCCCAGTTTGTCCTTATTCTCAGAAGATAACGACAAATCGTGGCCGGGCGGCAGTGGTGGCAGGCTGCGCTTTGTCGTCGTCGCACAACCAGGCACAGGACAGCAACAGCAATGGCCGTCAAGCTGTCGCACAGCAGGAGTTGCGAGAGGGAGGAAGCCGTCGCACAGCAGATGTGACACATGGTTTACGAGAGGAAATCTGTGCGACCGCGGCTGCGACGGATCTCCCCCAAGAACGAAGTGCGCGAGGTGTCGCACAAAGTGTGCTGGGTGTCACACAAAGAGGCGGGACAGGTGTGGCGCATCATCTCCAAGAGGAAAACGGAAGAGGTGTGGTGAGCAAGATAGGTGTGGGAATCGGCGCGCTGCTGCTGTCGCTTGCGCTGCAGGGCGTTCCTGCCATTGCGCAATCTCGTGCTGCGACGGCGGCTTTAGACTACTCGTACCCCCAATCTCGGTCAGGATGGGATTTGTCAGAGCTTGCAGAGAGGGGGGCACTCACGTCTGACCTCCGCGTGGCCGAAGATGAAGAGGTGGAGGAGGACCTCTCCCTGTTAGGAGCAAAGTATTTCTCCATGCACGACCTCGTCCGAATCTACGGCTATGGTGCTGGCCTCGACGACCCGGACATATATTTGGTCCCACGAAAGGATGACGTCAATGAGAACTCAAGTACTCGTATGGTGATGACCACAACAAGCAGCAGCATGATGACCAATCCAAATGAGGTGCGTGTGATGCGTGTGCTGGAAAAAAATAAAATAAAATAAAATAAAATAAAAAACTTCAACGAACAGGGAAAAAAAAGAAAAAAGAAAAAAAAGAAAAAGAAAAAAAAAGAAAAAAAAAGAAAAAAAAAAAGAAAAAAAGAAAGAAGAGAAAAAAAAGGAAGGAAAAAGCTTAAAAAAAAGGGGAAAAAAAGGGAAAAAAAAAAAAGAGAGAAAAAGAAAAAGAAAAAAGAGAAAAAAAGGAAAGAAAGGAAAAAAAGAAGAAAAAAAAAATTGAAAAAAAATGCCNAAAAAAAAAAAGAAAAAAAGAAAGAAGAGAAAAAAAAGGAAGGAAAAAGCTTAAAAAAAAGGGGAAAAAAAAAAAAGAGAGAAAAAGAAAAAGAAAAAAGAGAAAAAAAGGAAAGAAAGGAAAAAAAGAAGAAAAAAAAAATTGAAAAAAAATGCCAGGAAATGATCAATGCGAATGACAATAAACCAGATTGCAGCATTCCATAGAAATCCAGATGTCTTTGAGCATGAACTGAAAGCAAATTGTACCAGGGGTTAACACCAAATAAGTACGAGAAAAGCGTTGAAGTCACAAGATAATGAAAGCCCTCTTCTCGCCTCCAAAACCAATGTCAACAATGTCGCTCTCCTATATTGGCGCTCTGCGCCCAGACCACAATCAGACAGCTCCTATCCACCTAGACTCCTATCTACAACAGGTCTTCACTGAAGAACATCAGGTCGATGACAAATGAAGACTCCGAGCGGAACGGCTCACTCCTCCGTCACCAGGTAAGCGCCTCATACATCACCCCTCTCCCCGACTTCCATCGCCACAGCCCCTTTCCCAAGGACCTCCGTTCTACCTCCTCCAACTATGGCGCCAGCAGCCGGGCTATGGATGTTGCGCTCAGCCGCTGCCGCCACACAGCTTCTTCCTCGCCCCCCGCCGGTGCCCTTCTTCCTCCTGGCCCGGCTCGCACCCAGCAAGTGAGCGCTCCAGCAGCACTGTCGCTGTCCAGCCAGCCAGAGTGTCTGAATTGAGGCAGCCTCACTTCCTTTTGTTCTTGCTGGCTGGGCCGCTGCGCCCAAGGCCCTTCCAGAATGTGCCTGGGGCTCAACTGTATGTGCCCTGGGTCTCAGCATCTTTGCTGGGCCCCAGCATCTTCAACCGACAAGGCTTACTTGTTGGTTGAAGACGCTGCGTGCGGAAACCAACCCCGGGCCCCTTGTGCTCACATCGCGGCATGCCGCGACGAATTTCTGCAGGCCCGCCTTCACTTAGGCGGGTGCACAGGCCTTCTTCAGCATGTCGAGGGCCCCGCATTCTCGCACAGAGTCTCCCTCCCCCTCCTTATCGATAGTCCCCTCTGAGGCAACTCAATCCACTACCTTCTGTTTCCCCTTCAACGAGTCTCTCATTGGTCGATCCAACTTCCGGTGCTGTCTTTATGGGCTCCTCTCTTGTGGACCATAGATCATCTTTCGGACCCGTATGATGCCTGAAAGCGACCTGGAACTGCATCTGGGGTTTCGGTGGTCTTCCTCTGGCGACAGGCTTGGGTACAGGCATTAGTCTGTGCTCCGCAATCTGATCGATATCGACATGATATCTTTCCAGGGTTGAGGGAAGCATGGATCTCCTTGAAGGAAACTCATCTGTTTCTGCAGAAGGAAGGGATTTGGAGGTGTGAAAGATTGGATAAGTGCTTAGGTGAGGTGGAACGCGGATGGCTTTGATGGGACATCAGGGTTGGAATGCACGATGTACAGGACATGCCATGGCCCAAAATACTGAGGCATCAGCTTGCAAGAACCAAGAGAAGCCATCCCTAGTACGAGAGGACTGGGAAGGGTCAACCTTTGGTGGAGCGGTTGTCATGCCAGTGGCATTGCGGGGTAGCTACGTTGGTATGGGAGAACCGCTGAAAGCATATAAGCAGGAAAGTAACCCCTCTTGAAAAAAGTTATCATACAAAGTGAAAGACCATCATGAGACTTGAATAGGCAAGAAGTAAAAGCACCATGAGGTGTGAAGCTAGAGATGTTTACTTCCTGTGTGAACTCAGAAGACTTCACACCCATACCCTTTCTCCCACCTGAAACTTAGACTCGCTTCTACGTTTGTTATCAGATACTTTCGTGGGGTTCTGAGATGTCTGAATTTGTTCCACAGTCTGCTGCAGCATCTTATTGTAGGTCTATCCAAAATTCAATGCTTCCCGGTGCTGCGCTCTGTCTAGTGTGTCGTCAGCCTTGTGTCTCCTAAAGCCTCCTCTCCTCCCAAGGCTTCTCCACTGGATCGACTCTTCTTGCCGCTAAACCCCAGCTGCCATGTCGGCAGTCCATGTCAGCGTCTTCTCCCACACTGGGTCGGCTCTTCTCACCGCTAAACCCCGTTTCCACCACTGGTTGACTCTCTCTCTTCCCCCCGCTTCCCCCCCCCCTCCCCCTCCCACCCTCTCCACCCCAAAACAGATCGTGCTGCACTTCCGAACTTGACGTCAACCACACTGTTGATTTTTGTTGGCGTCAACCGTTGCTTCAAATTTTCTGTTGACGTCAACCACAATGTCTATTTTTTTTTGTTGATGACAACTATCACTTCGAATTTTCTGTTGACGTCAACCACAATACAACTTCGATGACGGTAAATCTTCTGCGATACCAGTTTGCAAGGAGACACTCACTCGTGGATCATCCTTAACCATGTGAGCACATGGAAGTCACACAGAAGGCATGAAGTTTGCCTTCTTCCTCACAATTGCCACACGGTTCAATGGAATTTCAGAGTTGCAGTCATCAGATACCCCGCACACACAACACCAGATCATAGATGATGCAACTATGGTGGGCCGGCCCCACAGGCTCGGACTCTAGATACCAGACCGGACACGAAGTATCCAATTGAAATTTCAGACAACGCGAGCCCTGCGACTGGCTGACAGAGTCAACACAGTCTTTGCGTGCTACACGAGCATGTCTCCTCTCTTCTCGCTCTCCCTCCTAGGATCTCTCCCTGAACATCGAAGTGGGGCTCCTACTCAATGGCTCGCTCTCCACCAAGCAAAAGCTCTCTCCTACAGACGCCCAACGCAACAGCGAGATTTCCACTCCAAAGGAATGGAACACAACAGCTATCAGATGACAACACAATTGCCCTACTACTTCAGCTATGGCTGCCTTCTTCACCATATAGCTCACTGCTCGATTTCACTGACCGGCACCACATCGATTTCGTTCCTCCAAATGACGGATGCAAGAGTTTTGCGTCTTGGGGTACTTGACCCATTGCCCCGGGACCCTCTGGATAAACTTGCCGGAGGCACACACTGCCGCACAAGTGGTAGTGGTACTAACGTTGACTTTAGGCATACGCAGGAACAGGTCTCAGGTTCAAGACTTCATGGGCCCATTCAACGCTCACAAACACACTGTTCATCGACAGATAGGCACACAGGTAAGTCAACGCTAAGGTTCTTTGCAGCACACTCAGGCACAGGGTACTGCACCACAAACAGCAACAGCAACAGGTCCTGGGATCAAATCACGGCAGGTAAGAGAGGTGAAATCCTTTCATATCTGGGACTCGTCATATGCACAGTGACACAGCTGGGGGGGGGGGGGGGGGGGAAAGGGGGGGGGGAAAAAGGGGGCGTTTTTTTTTTTTTTTTTTTTTTTTTTTTTTTTTTTTAATGGGCCTTTCATATCTGGAACTCATCATTTGCACAGTGACACAGATGGGGGGGGTAGGGAGGGAACAGGGGTGGTCAGAACAGAGGGCCTTTTCGTTTTTTTTTTTTTAATGGGAAAATGCGATTAGGGATTTACTGTGTCCCCATGGCTCGGGAAGCACTCAACGTCTCTCCCGGGGGGTGGAGGTCCAACCAGCAAAGAGGAGTGGATTAAGGGCATGAATCTGGACTTGTCTTACGCAGAGATGCAGAAAAGCAGATCCGTTGTGATCTTCTGCACCTCTCCACAAACACGTCCAGATTCGGGCACTAGTCCAATCCTCTTTGCTACTGGGACTCCACCCCGGATGCGATGAGTGATTAGTCGATTGGCTGAGACTACGAGCTCACAAGGTATTGGCTATGGGACCCCTACCTGGATTCCCTTCTCTGTTGTTGTTGTTGTTGTTGTTTTTTGGTTATGCTGCAAAACACCGAAATGTGAATCCCAGGTGGCTTCCCTGTGGGTCCTGCAATCTGGTATCTGTTCCTGATGACACTTGGCATTCACTGCTCATTCATTGTGTGTGTGCATCTTTGGCAAATTGAAGATGGAGCATTCTGCAGCTGGTGGACAAGCCTTTCTCCTCGCTGACGCCAACGTAGGGGGTGGGGAGGACTTGTCAGGTATCGTGAATGCAGTGATATTGTTTTTGAAACAGTCCCCCTCCTCCTCCTCTCACCCTTAACCTCATCATCATCACCACCACCTTCTTCTTCTTCTTCTTCTTCCTCCTCCTCCTCCTCCTCCTCCGCCGCCTCTTCCTCTTCTTCTTTGCCTTCGCCTTCCTCTTCTTCCTCTTCCTCCTCCTCCTCCTCCTCCTCTTCTTCTTCTTCTTCTTCTTCTTCTTCTTCTTCTTCTTCTTCTTCTTCTTCTGAGCTTGTTGATCTCCATTGCAGGTGCTTCTTCTTGCTACTTGTTTGTAAGCGTGGACGTGTAGTGATTGGCCTTGCGATTACAATACTATTACAGATCTTGTTTACTCTGCAAACGTACGTTTTTGATCAATTTCAGATTAGATCCCTACCGGGATCGTCCATAATCGCCATGCACCTTTTTTTTTTTTTTTTTTGAAAGAAGTTGCAGTTTTATTATGTATATGAAATCACTGAGGGCGGGAATTCCGCAACATCTCAACCCGAAGAATGCTGAAGCCGTTACCCAGAATTGGTTTGAGCTGGAAACTGGGTCCAGCGTCCCTATGTCTGCAACTTCAACCAAAATCGAAACTGGACATAACCCCTCTAAAGGGGCTATATAGGGATTCTGGTTGGTTTTGTACTTCTCCCAATCCCAAGATATCAGCCTATGATCCTGCCTTACCTCTCAACATTATTATTTCCTTTTATTTTATATTCCTTTTATCCTAGCTTACCGGGGCGGATGTCCAGGGTCCCCCCGGTTGTCCGAGTTGAGTGGTCGAACAAAACCGAGTTTTGGGGGGGCGGGCGTGTTTTGGTCGATTCAGGGCCTGGATGTCTGCTGAAGGTCGCGGGCTGGCTGACCAGGCCTGAGGCTTAGTTTTTTTTAGGCCGGTAGGGCCTCAAAACTTGAAAAAAAGAAGGGCCAATCTGGGCCGGGCCGTCACATCTTGGAGATCAACGGCTCAAATTGGGCGTTTTTGAATTTCAAAATTTGCCTGGGTCTGGCCGTTGCCTCGCACGCGATTTGGGGGAGGACGTTGGGTCGTTGAGCGTTGCTGAACGTTCACGCCAGCGCCAGGAGCCGCAACCCTAGGCCGCCATCCCAAGCACCGCCAGGTAGGTGACTCCCGTCCTCCTCCTTCCTCCATCACCTTGGCCTCCGTCCTCCTTGTCCTCTCCTCCCTTCTTCTACCTGCTCCTTCTCCTCCATCTCTTCCTCCTCCTAGTCCTCTTCCTCCTCTTCTTCTTCTTCATCCTCCTCTTCCTCTTCCTTCTCCTCCTCCTCCTCCTCCTCCTCCTCCTCCTCCTCGCCCTCCCCCTCCCTTCTTCTTTGTCCTCCTCCTCCATCTCTTCTTCCTCGTCCTCGTCCTCCTCCTCCTCCTCCCCCTCCCCGTCCCCGTCCCTTCTTTTTCTTCCTCCTCCTCCTCCATCTCTTCTTCCTCGTCCTCCTCCTCCTTTTCTTCTTCCTCCTCTTCTCTTCGTCTTCTTCCTCCTCCTTGTCCTTTTTTTTATGTCCTCCTCCTCCTTTCTTCCTCCCCCTTCTCCTCCTCGTCCTTCTCTTCTTCCTCCTCATCCTTCTCCTCCTCCTCCTCCTCGTCTTCTTCTTCATCGCCCTCCTCCTTCCTCCTCGACGTCCACCTGTTCTTCCTCCTCGTCCTCATCCTCCTCGTCTCGTCCTCCTCTTCCTTGTCTTCTTAGTCCTCCCGCTTCTCCTCCTCCTCCTCCTCCTCCTCCTCCCTTCTTCTTCCTCCGCTTCCTGCTCCATCTCTTCGTCCTCGTCGTCCTCCTCCTCCATCCTTCTTCCTCCTCGTTTTTCTCCATCTCTTCCTCCTCCTCCTCCTGTTTTCCTTCTTCCTCCTCGACCTCCTCCTTGTGTTGCAGCGGATGCATCTCCTGCTGCAGTCATGGGTGCAACTGCTGCAGTAGTTGCAACTACCTGCAACACCACCCGCAGCAGCACCACATGCAGCAGCACCAGCAGCTGTCATTGCAGGCCTCATCTGCATCTGCCACACCTGCTCCGGTTGCAGCTGCTTGGTAGCAAGCTGTGCACCTGTACCCGTGCTGCATCTGCTGCTGTATGTGTAGCATGCGCTGCAGCAGATGCAGCAGCTTCTGCTCCTGCTGCCTCTGCTGCAATTGCTGCTGCCTCTGCTGCAGCAAATGCTGCAGGTGCTGTAGATGCACCAGCTGCTGCAAGTCAGTCTTTGCAGATGCTGCAGCTGCAGCTGCTACTACACCTGCTGCAGATGCTGCAGGTGCAGCACCTGCATCTACGGCAGCAGGCGCTGCATGTGGAGCAGATGCTGCACCTGCTGCAGCAGCTGCTGCCTCTGCATCAGTGAACCCTCCCTTTACCATCTCTTTTTTTTTTTTTTTTTTTTTTTTTTTTTTTTTTTTTTTTTTTTTTTTTTTTTTTTTTTTTTTTTTTTTTTTCTTGCAAGTGAGCTGAACTTTTTTTAATGGGGTCTCCGCGTGGTTCGAGACCCCCCCCAATTTTTTTATTTTTTTTTTCACTCTCCGATTGGCAGGAAACGAGTTGTCCGGGACGGGACAACTCACCTACCAGACGTCCGCCGATCGGGCAGGCAGTAACCTAGCTTTTATAATCATTTTTTAAACCCCTTTAAAATGGCTGAAACTGTGGTTTTGTTAGGGGAAGGAAAACAAAAACGAAGCTACTGTGGTTCACCCTGTGGTAGCATGCTATGATCACTCAGTGACCTTGTATTAACATTCTCTAAGGCCTAAAACCCTAAAAGAAAAACAGGCCTAAAGTTGCCCTTAAAGGGTGTGATCACTCAGAGACCTTGTATTACCGTTCTCTACAGTGAAACGGTATTCACCTGTTTGCAGTAGCCGATGCAGATCCCAGGGCTCGATCCCTAGTCATCACCTTACCTGTGTACAGTATTTGTGTCGACCCCGAGAGTTGAACCTGTGACCTGTGTATTTGTAACAGTTGGTAGACGGTCGTAGGGTCCGTAGGTAGCAGGGGTTCGATCTGTAGACCTGTCGAGTAGAAGTCTTAGGCAGTTCTAGAAGTCGTAGCTGTAGAGCTTCCGAAGAGTCCAGGTCGTAGCTGCTACAGTCCTGAAAGGTCAAGGTCGTAGCTGCTACAGTAGCGAAAGGCCCTGGGGATTCACTTTCACCCCAGCCCACTTAGCCTTATGGTTAGGTGTCTGCCTGCTAAGCCGTTGACAGTGTGTTCGAGTCTTGGATTCGTCACATGCTTTCGCGCAGTAACCACCATAGAAATAATACTACGGAAGTGTGGCTGCGTTAGTGGAGTGGAAGTGTGGTTGGGTACACCGGGTTGCGGGATCTCCGTTGTGGGATTCCGTGCTGGGGTGGGGTGAGGTATTCAGGTTTGAGTCCTGGGGCTTCACTTTCACCCCAGCCCACTTAGCCTTATGGTTAGGTGTCTGCCCGCTAAGCCGTTGACAGTGTGTTCGAGTCTTGGATTCGTCACACAAGTTCACGGCCTTCCGGAAGGTCCTCTGTGGCCTTTCGAAGTTGCTCACGTTTAGGCTGAGGCAAGTGGGCAAGTGGTGGAGTCTACCCGTGCTGAGTCAGCAGTCCCAGTCCCAGTCAGTCCTAGTCCAGTCAAGCAAGCACCGCATGGGACTGTGTGCACTACGGGCATGGGAAAGGGCCAGACCAACGAACTACTGAAGTATGAATCAAAGGGCAGCGCCCAGCCATTCATTCATTTTTCTGCGTAAGCCATGCGGAAGCGCTGCCACAGCGACTTGTCCGAGGTGGTCTGCAGTGAGCCCGAAGATGAAGTGGGCGAGAAGGAGCTTAGCCATAGCGATAGGTTAGCAGCGGCCATAGCCGCCATAGCTGTAGGTAGAGTGTAGCGTCTGTGTGTGTGTGTGTGTGTGTGTGTGTGTGTGTATGTGTGTACAGAGTATCGCGTGTGGGATATCCAGGGTGATCCTGTGTGTGCGAACAGAGAGTTGAGTGGGCGCTGTGTCGCCATAGCCATTGAAGTGGACTTGTACCTGAACTGCGTTCTTGGCTACCATATCTCTGAGTTTCGGGTGGGCGCTTGTCGCCAGTTTGCTGCGCACCTGTTTGCATGCATGCGAAGTGTGAATGAGAGCGAGTCTGATTGCAACGGCCTAAAACCCTTAAAAAAAAAACAGGGCTAAAGTTCCCCCGAAAGGGCCTAAACCCTTAAGCAATTTGAAGCCTAAGGGTGTTGTATTGCACCCCATGATACTATTGTGCAATCACGTTTGAGGTTTCATCTCTCTCTCTCTCTCTCTCTCTCTCTCTTTCTCTCTCTCTCTCTCTCTCTCTCTCTCTCTCTCTCTCTCTCTCTCTCTCTCTCTCTCTCT